GAGAGAGAGAGAGAGAGAGAGAGAGAGAGAGAAACTAAAAGAAAGGCAGAAACACAGAGGGAGAGAAAAAGTGAAAGACAGAAAAGCCAGAGAGTTGGATGACCAGCTCAAACTCTCCCTTCTGAGAGATAGCCATGTAAGTACAGAACATCAAATTATGAGAAAAGGAAAGATTATGGATAACCAGTAAAAAGATACTATGATATTATGCATTTCATGAAAGAACTCATTAATATTCTTTTGAACCAACATGACACTAGGAGAGAATAAAAATGAACCACAATTATGGAAAAATAGAATTAACAAATGACCATCAAGGAAAAGACTTCATATTCTTCAACCAACTAAATACTAAAGATACCCTTCTTTTTTCAAATTTATTTTTTAAAATTGATATATATATATATATACATATATATATATATATATAAAATTGTATGTACTTTAATCCTGGGTTAAATACAGGTACAGAAAAATCTGCCATCGTACTCTCTTCTTTCTCTGTGTATTCCTAGTGCCAAGAGTCAGGAGAATTTGTAGATTATTAATCTGCCATTTCATAGATATACCCACTGTCTGTAAGAACCTAGAAGTTAAACCCTACCAGGATCTCTTCCTCAGCTTCAGGGTAATCATTTTCATGCACTTAATATTACTTCAACAGTATATTTTTGAATGAGATTTAATTCACCTCAAGGAACTTTCTTTGAAAATAGGTCAGTTGATTTCTCTAAAATCATATGAATAAACATAAAAATAATTTTATTTGCTGAAGTATTGTTCTGATGTTTTTAGATGGTTTTAAAGAAGGAAAACTATGCTGACTTGTATCCAGGAGAAACAGAAACTCTTGCCCCCTCCCTGAACTCATTCGTTCCCCTCTCTGTTCCAGAACGCGTACTCTCTGTACTACCTGGCTATCGTGGGTCACTCTTTGTCCATTTTTACCTTGGTGATTTCCCTGGGGATCTTTGTGTTCTTCAGGTGAGTATATTTACAACATCTGCTTTTTATTTTCTTCTCGAAGTTACTGGAAGAAGTGGCAAATTCTGTAAGAGTGGGGCTGGGGGAAGGTCTCCTGCAAATCATGAAAGACAGGCACCATTGGTAGTGATGAAGTAGCCAAAATATCAAATGCTTTTGAACCCTAACTTTGGGAGAACAAGATGGATTCATTATCATTTTCAAAGGCAATATGCCCTCCTTCCCCAAATAAGACAGGCCTGTGAACCCAGGAGGACCCTGTGGTAATATGGAAAGGTTCCATTTACCCTGGCTGAAGTTACATTAAATACTGAGCAGAGGCTCCTCCGCCTTCTCCAATCCTTGCTCTACTATACAGAGCCCATGGCCATAGGTCCACATGCACCCTGCCTAGTTATGAGCTATATCAAAAGTGGATTTTCCATGACCGGTGAGGCCATGATAGTGGTTTAATCACAGAGGAGGGCAAGTCTTGAGTCTCTCTTTATGCCTTAACCCACTCAACCAGGATTGAAGTTAGTGGAAGAAGATGGCTCTTTGTCCAGTGTTAATTCTTTCTCCTTGCAAACCTACTATTTTCAACCACACCCATTTTCTAAGACACTGTGAGGAATAATATTCTCATGAGGGTTTTTATTCTAAGGTTTTGTCTATTAAACTTAATTGCATTATCTGTGGCAAAGTGATTAGGTTGATATACATGCAGATTTTACAATAACGGAGCATGTGTTGAGTCCTTCTTCATCGTGTGTTTGACAAAGTAACATGACTACATTGGGCTGTTTCTTAAATTTGGCATCATTTCTTTAACTCAAGGCATGAGGCATGTGGCACTACATTGACCTTTCATGAGAATTCTAATTTTTACACTAAAGCAATAATTCCCTCTACTTAGACTTATATACCCTTTTGTGTGCAAACTTTGGATTTTCTTGTATTTTAGATAATTAGATTGATTAGGAAAAATCTTGATACTCCATTCTCCATTATATGAATAAGGTAGGTCTAAATGTGCATAAATTATCTGACATGAAAATTTTATAGAATTCCCAGCAGGCAGGAGGTCTGCTTATGTTTTCCATGAAGAAAACTCCCTTATCAGAATTTCCTACTGCTGTTACACTAGTTGAGATAATAGCCAGCAAGCCCTGGAGCAACTTGGATGAAATAACCTATAGACATGGTCTGGCAATTGCCATCTGCTAGAACACTTCAGCTAAAACCCCAGAAGAATGAAATTCAGAGATATGTTAGCCTATGTGAGAATAAGGAATAAAAAAAACACATCAGAGCATGTCTTTGCAAAACCCAGCTCAAATATGTTTTCCTTTAGTCTTTATGTGTGAACAATTGTATCAGAAAGCACAATGTGAGAAAATACATAAGGAACAACTTGAATACTTGAAGGTGTCTTGTCATCTTTAGATAAATATAAACAGGAGCTTTTCAAATAACTAGACATTTCAATTAGAAACTATTAACTATGTTTGCATCACAGCAATCCTTCGTGAAAATAAGGCTCCCATAACATAGCCCTTTAGCTGATTTTATGAATTATATTCACAAATGTAGGTTTAAAATAGACCACCCCATTATTTTTTTGTAAATGAACTGCAGTTCATAAATCTCTTAGAAATGGAAATAAATTAGATGGAATGATACAGTATCTAAATTAGTATCTGACACATAAAAAGTGTAATATGAGTTAGGCTCAGTGGCACACACCTGTAATCCATCAGCTCAGGAGGCAGAGGCAGGAGGATTGAGAGTTTAAAGCCAGTCTCAGCAAATTTAGTGAGTCCCTAAGCAACTCAGTGATACTGTTTCTAAATAAAATATTTTTAAAAAGGGCTGGGGATGTGGCTCGGTAGTTAAGCATCCCTGGGTTTAATCCCTGGTACAAAAAAAAAACACCAGTGAAATATGTGTTTGATATCATTATTATTGCTATAACCATAATTATTATTGGTAGTAATAATAGTTGTAGTGGTATGGCAAACCCCTAAGCTCAGATTCCAGATAATCCTTTACACTTAAAAGATGTGCCACACAATTAAATATAGTCACCTATATATAGAATAACAAAAGCTTAATTAGATTTTTGTTAAAATGTTATCCTGATAGTACTAAAGAAAATTAAACAAATGAGAGAATAATCAACTCTGTACACATCCTTAGCACAACTATTACTTTTTTCTTGGTCATTTTTTAAATCTTTGTCCATATCATAGTCAAGATTCTTATATTGCCTAGCTCAGTGATACATGCATACCTGTTATCCCAGCAACTTGGGATTCTGAGGCAAGGAGGATCATAAGTTCAAGCCAAGCCTCAGCAACTTAGTGAGAATCTGTCTCAAAGTAAAAAACATAAAAGGTTGGGTATGTAGCTCAGTGATGAAGTGCCCCTGGGTTCAATTTCCAGCACACACACAAAAAAAAAAGTGACTAAAGAAAAAGTAGACAATAAGCTCCTACCACAAATGGCTCAACAGAAGACTGATAAAGCAGAAAGACATGAGGTATTAATTGCTAGAATTAGAAGAGTATTTTCAATTATAATGATCAGAACACAGCAAAGTAATCACCATAGCATGATTAATTTTGGAATGGCTGCTCATTTTTCAATAGCTCTTCACCATGGTGAATAAATACATCATCTTGACTCTCACACAACTTTGATTAAAAAGTCTGCTTCTAAAAGCCTACTTTTTTAAGCTTTTAAAAAATATAACAAAAAGAAAAATCCCAAATTTGTAGCTATGCAACTAATACTCGGATCAGGACTTTAAAGGTAATGACAAGGGGTGTTTCTTAGGTTTTTTAATATCTCCATTCACTTAAACAAGTTATGAGATCTGAGAGTGGAACCAGCAAAGAAAACGAGAATGTTCTTTCAATTATTATTCTTACATCAAGCCACAGAAGATGAGTGTTTAAAAGTGTGGCACATGGTTGGGAGGCTGAGGCAGGCAGGTTGCAAGTTCAAGGTCAGCCTCAGCAACTTAGTGAGAGCTTGTTTCAAAAAAATAAAGAGAACTGAGGTTGTGGTTCAGTGGTGAGGTGTCCTTGAGTTTAATCCCCATTACAGGGGGGAAAAAAAACACATGGGTAAATTAGAATATTTAACCCAGAGTAAAATGATACTGTTCTAACCCTAGTGGGGAGGGTAAGAGGGAGGACCTGAGATCATCTGTGAGGCACATTGTTCTATTGTCTCTATTTCAAGAAGCCATCAGTCAACAACTTAAATCTGGGGAGGAAAAACAAGTACTAACAAGTATATTAATTTATAATCTAAATCTAACAATGCAAATATATAAACTGAAATAGCTGACTCTCCAGGGCAGCCACACAAGAGAAGAATGAGAAATGTAGTTCACAAATGGGGAGATGTCAAATATTCCATTTCAAAATAATGAGATACAATTTTTAAACTTGTTCTCAATGGTCTCCTAAAAATGCCCAAACTAAAAATGTTAAATACGTCTGTTTTCTTAAAAATGAAGTATGTTCCTGGCTTTTCTAATTTTTTCTTATATTTGTATTTCAAAAATAATAAGTTATCGTGAAGTAGAAAGTAATTTTGACCTATCACTGGAATTTATCTTTTAATTAGCAGAATTTTCCCAGGAATTTTTTTTTCAAACAATTAACATCACTCATAAGATGTTTACCTACTTTACAATCTAAGTGTTCATCATTTATTTACTTAAATACCATTATTGATGTGAAAAATCAATGATCAATTATCTGTCTCTTGCTTAATTCTGCATTCTTGCAGTATTTTGCAAAATCTGAACAGTTAGTTGCATAAAACTTTTATGAAACCAAAGTGAGAAGTTATGCAGCTTCCCTTGGTGGACTAGTTCCTTCATAATCATCCCATGAAATCTCACTCTGAGGTCCTCAGAACTCTTGAAATGCACCTTACAGAGTCTATCAAAAGAAGAAACTCTGCAGGTGTCCTCCAACCAGCAGGCTAAGGAGGCCTGCAGGAGAATTCAAAGTTACTGACCATACAGGAGGCCATGGAACTGCCAATACTTCACTAAAAATCTTGGGCTCTTACTCAGAATGAGGCCATTAAAGCATGCCCCTGATCTTAATGTAATTTTATTCGTAGTCTTCAGGGAAAAGGAAAGGCAGGGGGGCTACATAACCCTGAAACAAATAAAAATCATGCTTTGTTATTTTAAAAGAAGAAAACAAAACCTCTGTGTCTTCTACAATCTAGAGGAAACTGAGTTTCAGTGATTTAATTAATAAAAAAGGGCACTAAAACTTTTGTAACTGTTATGAAAGTTTACATAACATTCATCACGGTATAGAGGTTATTTCTAGTCCAACAGTTAAAGATAGAAAACAGCCACTTAGGATGCTATTTGGTTTAGGGTGTTTGCAGAGAAAATAAGAACAATAATAAGGAGAAGAATTAAATATAAACATCAAATTAGTTCACCAAGACCTCTCACTATTAGATGCCAATAGTACATATCAACAATAGAACTAAGATGTAGAAACCCTTAGGGAAAACTGATTTGGGAAAATTATGAAGTGCACATTTGTGTGAGTTTGGTTCTTGACCATTTTCAGCAAGTTTTTAATAAATCCACTTATTTCTCAAGTTTCACTTGCAATTTATCAATTGCACACTTAAATACTTATACAGCTCATGTGCTCTCTCAAGAGAGGCGTAATAGAACATTCATTAGCATCCATTGTGACTGATCAGTACTCACACCTTCTGGTTGTTAAATATTTAAAATATTTACTACTCTTGCCCAAAAGGCTTTAGAAATATATATTGAAAGACAGGGAGTGTCTTATTGCATTTCAAAAAGCATAGGGAGTAACATAGGTCAAAAATGGTAGCTTCCACTGGGGCATCCAGAAGGAACGCTAGTTCCTTTACTACCAACTCAGCATTTCCTGCTATTTCATTTCACACTTACATTCTGGGTGGACAGACAAGTCTTTTTCTTGTGTGGTGTCCACCATTATATGTCTCTGACTGCCTTCCTGCTCCTCCAGAGAGAACACTCAGTTGAAGGCATCAAGGATAGCTTACTTTCTTCCAACCCAGGCACTGGCATGCTGGGGACAGTCAAGATAACTGTTGGTCAGACCATGACATATAGTTCACCCACAGAACAGTAGTGATAGGAAAAGAAGCAAGCATTATGATTAAAAGGGGGAATTCTTGATAAGGATTTTGTGCTATATCTAAAAGTAGAAAGTTCCTTATCAGGAAAGACATACATATGATCTATTATGCAATTATGCATTATTGCCTTCTTCTCTTGCCTTAATTCTCATGTCCATTGTGAAGAAGGTACAATAACTAGGTAAAGGGGAACAAAGTCAGACTGGAAGATGCAACTTGGGCTTATAGCAATTATAGAAATGAAATTCCTAACTCATGTTTTCCCATGGACTAGTAAATCCATACAAATTTTTCCTTGTTTCATTATTGGCTATTCCCTGTTTGCTTTGAATGTGACTCTAATTACAGACTTATGTAGGATTGATACCAAAACTGATTTAAGAAATCTGCAAAACTCCAGGCAAATATTAAGTGCCTCTCATACAGCCACAAGCTCTCAAAAGTACACATGCATATGCTGATAGAGTACTAATAACATGAAACAAATTCTTTGTGAAAGAGTTATACCAGATAAACTATAACCATGAAAATGACTTTTTGATTTAGCCTTAAAATATGGCATTTTGAGATTCAAAGTCAAGAACACTTATTTCTTCGTCACATTTGAAATGACACCACAGTTTAGCCCAGACAGCAGATAATGGTATCTTGTCCTCCCACTATTGGAGAATCTGTAGTACTTATGGTTCCCTGTCACTCAAATTAACAAGCAGTGTTCTGTCCATCTAAATGCCTATTTTTTTATCAAGGGAATATAGTATAACATCAGGTTTATGCAATTTCTACTTAAGACATTTCAGATCTGACAAGAAAATGTTATCAGCTGCTCTTACATTCACTCAAGCAACAGGATTTTTGCATTATAATTCTTATGCTAATTTCAGTTCATCTTCTCAAACATCCTATGCCTCTTCAGAACACTTATCACAATAAGAGTAAATAAGCAGCTAGGTTGCATATAAGGTTCTTGAAGTCAGAAGCTTTCTATTTGTGCACTGATATATCCTCTGCCTCTACTAGAAGTTCTGGATCATATTGAGTACACAGTAACTCAATTGTTAATTAATTTTGATAAATTTAAAGTACCGTTAACTGGCTTCAAAAAGATGAGTGTAAATGTCATCAAGTAATGCAATAAAAATTTTTAAACTCAATAAACAGAAATCATGCTTGAACTTTTAAGAAACAGAAACTCATTATTAGCCATAGTCTCCCTTTGGAGGCTAGCAGTTTATCTAGTTTTAAACCATCATTTTCTCTACGTTCTCAATGAGAAGTGTGTATGGGTTCTTATGTAGGTATATGCACATATATACGGATTTATACATATATATAAAATATTGTTTTAGTCAGCCTTTCTCACTGCTGTGACTAAAGGACCCAACCAGAAAAAAACTGTAGAGGAGGAAAAGTTTGAGGGCTTACGGTTTCAGAAGTCTCAGCCCATAGACAGCCAGCTCCATCACTTTGGAGTGGCTCAAGGTGAGGCAGAACATCACGGTGGAAGAGTGTGGTGGAGGAAAGCAGCTCACATGGTGAACAGGAAGCAGAGAGGAAGACTCCACCCTCCAGATACAAAATATATACCCCATAGGCACGCCTCTCATGGAACCACTTCCCCCAGCTACACCCACCTGCCTCCATTTACCACTCAGTTCATCCCATCAGGGATTAACTAACTAATTATGTTAAAGCTAAAGACCAATTGTTTCTCCTCCAAACTCAATTGCATTGTCTCACACGTGAGCTTTTAGGGGAACATCACATCTAAATCATAACTACATATGAGCTAGTGTTGAACAACAAGATGATGTCCAATATTAGTTAGCTTAACAACTTCAGAATTTGGTCAATATTCACTATGATACAAAGTATGAGATATGAAATCATCTAGCATTTAATATAATTCTTTGATGTACTGAAAAACTATTTAGTGGTCACAGCTCAAGCAAAATTGTTGTCGTATATTTTTAATTAAACCATGAGTCTTAAGTCCTGTGATGTGTCAGTGTTCTAGGATTATGAAACAATTTCCTTGGACACTTCCATGCCAGTGGGAGGAAAAGAGAAAATAATAGGCAATATCAAGAGGTGATGAGTGTTAAGAAGAAAAATAAAGCAGGGACTCAAGGGCAAGAGTAAGCAGCAGGTAGAGGAAATATCTTTTGTTCAGGGGGCTTTGGTTTCCACAGAGAATGCAGCTAATGAAGTCCCTTAAGCCAGTGTTATGCATCAACAGATTATTGAACTCTGCCCAATCTAAAGAAAGCCAGGCCCAGGAGCGGCAGACCTTCCTCCTGCTTTTCCTTCTAGACAATGGCAGTTGTCATAGGCTAAACCAGACTGAATGCCATGAGGAAACCACAGATAGTTACTCCTAATGAGAAGAATTATTGAACACAATTATGACTACATGGAAGGTGTCAGGTCACAGGTTCAACAGCACTGAGTCCAACAGTTGCAAGATGGAAGAGTTTATGTTGTATAAATGGGTGCAGTGTTTCACACGATTTTTTATTCTTTTGAAAGCCTTAAACTTTCAACCTGTCTTTAGCATTATTGTAAAACCAAGCAAGTTTGGTTTAATTTTGCTGCCAAGTAAGGTAATCCATCACAGTGGGCAGGGGGTGGGGGAGGTGGTTGGGAGGGTAAGTTCTTCTCTAAGCCCCATCTTTACCATAGGCTGCCCTCTGGACATAAAGTTCTATATTCTAATACTGCCCAATAAGTGACAAATTCTAAACTATTATTCATTAACTACTAATATGTGTGCTTCCTGAGAAGTGTATCTGCAGTCATCCAAACACGCTCTCACAGAGGTCCTTATTACTTACTCTTACTTTTGACTATAAATTATTGACAATTCACTTTCCTTTGAGTTGTGAATATAGGAAAGCATTGTAAGTAAATCCAGACCATTCTGATATTTCATTTTTTCCCCGGATTTCTTTTTCAAAATTCCTGGCTTCTAACTTTATTCCATGAACTTGTTTTAGGAATAAATACTGTGAGGAGTAACTGCAGGTTTTAAGCTTTCACAATGTAAATACATTATACTAATGTTTTTGACTGGATGAAATATATTAAATAAAGGATGTCTATTGACCTACAATTCTCATTCCAATTTTCTTTCTACCATGACACAGGCTATCTTCATTGCATCCCCAAAGTGAAAAGGGATGTTCAAAGTAATGTTTTATTATGTGAACTTTCATATCAGTGCTTATGTAACAAGTTTATGAAGTAGGGGAGAAAGGAATAAAAGAATCCAACAAATTACTTAGTACCAATAAGGTGGGAAAGTAACTGTGCAAGGAAGCAGCAGCACTTAGATAGGTCTCGCCAGATCGGAAGCACAATATGCCTCATGAGGAGATCAAATTTAAGCCCATTTACAATTCTCTGCCTGTGTCCGAGCTCCACCAGCAGGAGAATGTGGAGAGCAGGAACCACAGGAGGGATTCCACAGACCTAGGAAGATGTCAAAAGACACAGTGGAAGGAAAGAATGGTGGAATACTTGAAGCTCGTGTATGGAAGGGCTCCTGTCCCTGGTCATGGGCATCCCTTGTTCTGACTTCTTGCTCTGTAACCCCATTTACCACCTATTTGGGGCCTGGTTACAACAACGAACAGTAGACTTTTCATTTGAAGCACACCCCAAATACATAGTAATCAGTCTTGAGGATGGGACCCACCTCATTTGCTTCTGTATGTCCTCATGTCTGTTGCTAAAGAAAATATGAAAAAATATCATCCATTTTTTTTTCAGGAACTTTAACATTTGGGCCCCAGTTAATACTTCACATTACTTTTTCTTCCAGGAGCCTTGGCTGCCAACGTGTGACTCTGCACAAGAACATGTTTCTGACCTACATTCTGAACTCCATGATTATCATCATCCACCTGGTTGAAGTCGTGCCCAACGGAGATCTGGTGCGCCGTGACCCGGTGAGCTCTGCATGGTTTTGTTTTCAATTTTATTTGGAGAACCTAGTACCTGTAAATAATGAGCATGCTGTTAATGCTATTGACATCTGCAAACATATGTACTTCTTGAGTTGAACTTTGCATTAGCAAAGCATTATCAGTTCTATGTAGTTCTTGGGATACATTGTTACATGCTCTGATAAAGGACTGGAATCATTGAGTCATATAAGCAAATGAGAATCATACAACAAGGCTATTGTACAAAGGCTTGGGTCAGTCACCTCAGCTATAAACACTATGCATTTACTCAAATGAGTCATAGAAATATGTTCTATGTCTGCATGCTTTGAAAAAAGATCTATTCTGACATAAGAAAATGAAAAAGAATTTAGGGGTAATGAATACACCCATGAAACTCATACCCATAAACACCATCACAACAAGAAAATCTAGTGAGGGTCTTCCTTCTATAAAAGTATTACAGAGAACAAGAGAATTGAAATCATTTAACTCCATTACTGAGAACCACTCATAACGTCTTTAGAGTTGTTAATAATAATTCATACCTGTCTTCAATCTTCTCTTTTTATCTCCAAGGTAATATTTTTCCAAATGGTTTCCAAATATGGTTGCGCTTCAGAATCAACTGGGGGAATTTCATAAATGTTAGACAGCCACTGTCTGCAAGGTGCTAGAGTTTAGTAGCTATGGGTGGAGCCTGGGAAAGCACCCCAGGTGTTTCTCTCTTGCTGCCAAATTGGGAAATCATTGACCAATTGCTGGGTGAAGAAAATGAGCTGGCAGAGGAGGCAAAGGAGGAGGAACATGAAGGCTCTGCTAATTCATTCAATCAGCCCCAGATATTAAAAACCACCAAAAATTAGAACTAAAAGAGATTTTAGTCCTCATTTTACAGATTAGAGATCTGAGGATGGAAAGGCCAAGTGATTTACCCTGGATTGTATGACTGATATAATTCAGTAATTGCAGGGGTAACAAGGACTCAAATCCACTCTCCTTACTCTCAGTTTTGTTCTTTCCTTTGCATCCTAATGATGTGTCTCTAATTATGAATTGATGAGGGCTTGGTAACATCAAACTAGTTGATTAGGTTCCCAAATCTACCAGATTAGTTTTGAAGCAATTGAATCATTTTGGTGCTGTGATACCAAACAACCATTTACTTTCCAAAATCTTTTTATTTATAAGCTCAGTGTTTAGATAGTGTATAATCACTGTTTCTACCATTTAATAATCATTTGATCCTTAGCAAATATTTTCATCTTGAAAAATCTACAGATGCTTCTCTGCATCTCCTGCCTTTTTAAAATTCCAACCAAAAATCTTTTTCTTTTTCATTAATGGCCTGCATTTTAATTGATCAGTTCAAAACAATTTAATGATGTAATGATTTCTGGCATTGCATATGAAATTGCCAATATTTAATGATCATTTTTGTTGTATAAAATTATGTTTCATTCCAATACAAAGTGGGGACAATACAATGGGGACTGTTACCTTGCCTTGGCCTGAGTTGACAATGGAGGGAAAGAGGAAGGAAGCTAAAGACAGAGGAGTGGTATGGTTGAAGGATGGCCTTCAGAAACTCAAGACTTCTGCCTCCAAACACAGCCAGCCTATAGTAACCCCCAAAAAGGGACGAGGGAGTAAACACTCTTATCTCCCTGTCCCTGCTAAGGGTTCTATTAACTGAGCTCAACCAGAAACCAGAGAGCAAGGAAGCCCTGAGAGAGGCATCCAAAATCACATCTCTGGGCCCAGGGCTGTGGGAGGGGAGGAGAGTGCATCTGGAAGCTCAAACTGAAGCTATCAGCACACAGCGAATGGCCATGGAATATTTTCATTTTTGTTTCCCTGCTTAACTGTGTTATGCAAGCATCTGTAGATAGCCTCATCTTTCAAAACTGGCATTTGACAGTTCTGCCAACCCAATGACAAAAATGCGTGAAATCTGCCCAGAGCATGCATCCTGCTTGACAGTGGCATGGCATGGGAAAGCAGCTTAATTTGGCTTCTAATGGATCCTCGGTGTTAATAACTTTTGCAGTGTGAATATATCCAGAAAGGCATTAGGATCCATCTTTTAAAACCATGACATCTGTTATCAGAGACAAAGTCCTGTCTTACCTGAAGAATAATGTGACCAAATGGGGTTTATTTTGATGAGTTTTTCTTTTCCAGTGTTAATTGATTTAAATAAAATTTATCTCACTTAATTTTATCCTCACAAGACCTCAGTGAGAAGGATATTATCCCCATTTTTAAAGCTGGGAAACTGAGGCTCAGTGAAGGTAAGTGTCCCCCCATACTGTGAGTACCTAGAAATGGAATTCAAATATGGACCTGTCTCACACAAGACTGTCTCTCTTTACACCACAGTCTGTCTTTATTTCCTTAGGAAGATACGTGTGATAAAAGAAGTGGGCTCAGCCACTCCAAAGCAATGATTGTCAACAATTGGACTGGCACACCAGAGTTAGTTAAGCTGACCCCCACCAAATTTAAAATAATGTAGAAGCAATTTGCTAAGCGAAGAGGAGTCATTTTCCACTAAGGTTGGAAACCCTGTGAAAGTTACCACCTGTAGGAAGTAGGCCAGGAAATGGCACTTCAGCTATTGAATCATCACCCACTGACCTGGGAGCAGTGCTCAGTCTATTGTGAAGTACTGTAAATTCACAGGTAGATCCTCTCCTGCCTCACACTGATACCTCTTACCCATTCACCATCCCTAAACATGAATCCAATGTCATGTAGAAACAGCCCCACGTGTTTGACAACCGTACAGGTGGGATTCAGACATATTTTAACCTATTCTTGAGTGTGCTGTTCCCCCACCCCACCCCCATGAAAAACAAAAGAACAAAAATCTAGATAGTTTTCTCTGTGCACCTACAAGAGGAATCCCTTTCCACTGAGGCTAGACAAAATGAGAATGGGTCACCAGCTAGAACTCAACTTACATGGCAAATGAAGTGATGTCATGATATGAGAACACGCTGTGCCCTATTTCACATTCCCAAATGTTTGTTTCTAACATTAGACAAGATACGGAAACACATGGCTCTCACCAAATACATGTGAATATAGTGTCGGCTAAAACTAGCTGAATCGATGTTGAAAATCAGTTCATGCTTGTGAATTATGAAGCATACACTTGACTCAGGAGGAAAATTAACTAGTTTTAAAAAATAACTAATGTTTTGTTTTTTTTTAATCTAGGGGATTTTTTTAGTACTTTCTCTATTTGAACAGTCATTATTTTTCATCAAAAACTTTGTTGACTCTCTTACCTAGCCTTCCATATATAAACAACATAGGACAGCTCTCTCTAGGCAAGTGAAATTAGTTCAAGAAAAGATAGCAAAGACTCCTAAGTAGACCTATTTTGTGAGTATTCTATCATAAAGGCATTCAAAGAAGCCCAATTTCTTGAGTATTTTCTCATCTAAAAGTTTAAGTGGATTGTAGTTGAAGCAATAAATTTGGGTATCAAGAAAGAAGAAATGTCCCTGCTGTGATAAACTTGAATATGAAGAATAAACAAGAGGGGTTGGGGCTCTGGCTCAGCAATAGCGCACTTGCCTGGCATGCGTGAGGCACTGGGTTCGATTCTCAGCACCACATATAAATACATAAATAGATAGCTAGATAAAGGTCAATCGACAACATATATATTTATTAAAAAAAGAAGAAGAAGAAATGAGAATTAGGAAAGACTTAAGTTTTTCTAAAGCCCTACCTCTCTTAGGAGAAAAGTTCTTCACTTATAAAGAGACAGATGTAATAGTATCCAAAGACTGAGAATCCAGTCATCCATCAACATTAAGTCACATGCAGAATCATATGTTTAAAATCACTTTAAATTCAGGGTTTAAAATATTACATTCTTCTTGAAAAACTGACAATCCAGAGAACATTTGATTAAGGTCCTCCCTAACCAAGAAAAATAAAAACAAGAAAGAAAACATAAGAGACAATCAATCAATCAATCAATTAATGAAACAGTAGAAAGTTTTGGAAAAAGGAAAGTTATTGGACATTTTCAGTTTATAAATATTAATTGAAATTGCAACTAACATGAAAATATAACCATAGGCATAAATTAAAGAAAAGAAGACTCATCAGCAGACCATCTCTGATTTAGTTCTATATTGCCTTTAAAGAAAAACAAAATACTTAACTTTTAAAGTCATTTTGCCTCCTAAGCAAACAAAAGCAAAGTTACTTTTTCATATTGACCCTATTCTCAGGTCACTGAATCAGTAGTTAAGAGGCACAAAGCTTTCTCTACTCAATACCAAAGGGAATATATTAAAAAGAAAGATATTTCTTGAAGTGGGAGGCTGCCTCATCCCAAATGTTTTTGCACTTCTTCTATGAGAGTTTTATTTTGTTGAGGGCAAAATAAGAAGAAAAAAAAAAAAAGAGAGAGAGAAAGAAAAAGAAGTGTCCTCAGCCCTCAGTGGGGAATCCCTGCAGGGTTGAGGTTCCTTCTGCATCAAAGTAGTCAGTTTTTTCTCTCAGAAGCCTTTGGTCAGGCATATTCTCTCCTGTCTGGCCAAGGATCAGAATCTTATTTCTCAGATTCTTCTATTTTATTTTTTCTAAGTTAAACTCAAAATAACTTCTGGAATAAATAAGGACTGAATAGATCCTCAGTTTATTGAGTGATGTGAAAATTGCCCATTGTCATTTATGTCATTTGAGTATTTCATTTCCATAATATCTAAAATTTCATTTTTTTGTTCTATCTATTCATTTGATGATCTTCATGTAGAGTCAGATTGCAGAATTAAAAGCATTGTTCTTGCTGCATCTAAAGGAAGCTGGCAGGATACTTGTCATTTTCTAGAAATAAATGTCTCTCTGAACTTTTTATCTGGGTATGAGAGGGACAATATAAGGAGATTAGTTTTTCCTAGGAACCTGAGCACTTTTGTACCTCAAAAGCTGAAACAACCGAGTTACATTTTCTGTAGCTTCTTGTATAAGTAAAGCCAAATGAGTTCCAAGTTCTGAAAAACAACATGAATTTCCTATAGCCCTCCCTCATTTGTTCAGAACAGTTGGACTGCCCAACAAGGCCATAGCTTTATCCTAGGTCATCACAGAAAGATCATGTTGGAAAGAGTGGCTGGAAGTGAAGCGCTAGAGATGATGAATTCCAGGGTGAGAACTAAAGGTTCCTGCCTGGCTCAAGGGAGGCTGCTGGAAGGGAGACCAGATAAATGTAGATGGGGCAACCAAGATGGCAGTGCTTCTGAGATGAAGGCTCAATGGCACATAAAACATGATTGGCATTATCTATTTCAGAAGCCTGTGAAGGGAAAAATTGAATTCGGATTAAGAGTGTATGACTGACTTAGGATCAGGGTGGGGAGAATAATGCCAAGAATAATGGAAGTGGAATAAGGTATTCTCTGCCATTTATTATTCTTCACTTTACTTACATGTCAAAACCAATGATGATTCTCCAACTTTATGATTAAAACTTAAAGGTTGCTATGTGAATACCCTACTGTCATAATTTTCACATAATGTTACAGAATACATTTTCTAGTGGTTCATTATCTAAAAATGATTTAAAACAAAATGGTGATGGCTAACTAGCTTCTATCTAGCAAAATCTCTCACAGACTTAGGGCTATGATAGAACTAAAAAGTGAAGAGAATAAATGTGAGGAAAATAAATCTCAGATATGTGTATTTACTTAGGTTCAGAATTTGGCCGACCCCACAACCATGTGTGTGCAAAGGAATCCAGATCATAGCTAAGTCTAAACTACCTGAACTGAGATTCACATTACCAACCTCACAGGAAATAAGCACTTTGGGTTGATTTATCCAAAGTAAGTTCCTGCTAAAACAAACAATAGGAAGAAAACTTCAAGGAATATAACAGAATCTAGATTGTATAACATAACATTTACAGCATCCAGAATACAATTCAAAATTACCAGACATAAAAATTTTGTTTTAAGAAAACAGTACCCATCACAAGGGAAAATACAATTGAGATAGATCCTGAGTTGGCCCAGATGTTAAAATTAGCAGACAAAAATTTTAAAGTAGCTTATCTCAGCTATACCTCAGGTTGTAAATAAAAGACAGGACACCTTAGCCAAAAAAAAAAAAATAGAAATTGCTAAAAAAAAAAGAACGACCTGGAAAATTCTAGAACCAAAAAATAAAGTAGCTGAAATTTAAAAGTAAATCACACTAGATTGGCTTAATTGCAGAGTGGAGATGACAAAGGAAAGAGTCAGCAAAACTGAAGATAAATCAATAAAAATTACTAATTTGAAGAATAGAGAATACAGGAGAGATAGAGACTTGTGTGAGGCAGTGCTTAAAAATCTAAAATACAAATGTTTGAGGCCCCATGAGGAGAAAGTAAAAAAATAGCCTAGCAAAAAAAAAAAAAAATCTGAATATTTAACAGCACTCCAGTTCTTGGCGTTCTAATGTTTCAAGGAGGAGCAACAGAGGGTAAAGGAAACAATTAACAAGGCCAATAACTGCTTCCCTATGATCTTAGGTCTTGAGCGATCAATTTTGTTGTCACTGATGTTGCTGTGATTGTGGTTGTTGGGAGGTTAGCATAGCTAGACACCCGCAGGTTGTGGCTCTCAACCTGGGACATTTTGCTCCCTGGAGGACATGGCACTATCTGGAGATAGTTTTCATCGTCATGACTGGGTGGGAAATGCTTCCGGAATTTACTGAATGGAGGTAAACACTGCTAAACCCTCAACAAGGCATGGGGCTGCCCCTCACAAGTGAAAAATGATCTCACCCCAAATGTCAATGGTGTCTAAGTGAGAAACCCCACTCCAGAGTAACTAGGGAATAACTTAAGATATTCTGTGTTGCAAATTAAGATATGAATGTTTCTATACAGATAACAATATGTACTTAATTTGATACTCCAGAGGTGTGGCTTCCAAATCTGCATTGAGTAACCAGGGAGAAAGCTATTCTAATCTCTGTGCCCAGCGAGGGTTTGACAAGCATTTGGATCCCAATGTAGAAAACAATGCTCCCATATGAAAACTAAAGCAGGAACATCACCTGTGTTCAACATCGGCTCCTAGGCCATGCATGAGACCCATCCTTGTTATTGCCAAAGAGATATCAGCAACACCAGCAGATTAATAGACTCCAGGAGCAGCATTAAAAATGCAGGGATTATTTTGCCTCATTGACCAGAGGGGAGAAAAACGTGATAAAAACCATGTGACAAATCCTTGCATGTTTTCTATAATATAAGATGGACTGCAGGAAAATGAACCTGTTTTGTCTAGCAAGGTCCCCAGAATGTACTGGGGAAAGAACATTTTCAGGACTTGGCTTTCATTAGCCCATATGGCTGTTTACATGTATCGTCTGTGATCTGTACAATGTCACTTTGATTTGTTGATATAGAGGTGGCACATGTTGGCAGATGCTTGGGGACACTGCCTTGTAAACTGGATGGAGACACTTTGGCTCACATTCGCATTTACCCTCGGTTCACGCCAGATCTTTACCTGCGACTTCCACTGAGTGTCTTCATTTCTTCATAACAGGTGAGCTGCAAGATTCTGCACTTCTTCCACCAGTACATGATGGCCTGCAACTATTTCTGGATGCTCTGTGAAGGGGTCTATCTCCATACTCTCATCGTGGTGTCTGTGTTTGCGGAGGGGCAACGTCTGTGGTGGTATTACCTTCTGGGCTGGGGTATGTATTTTGTTCAGTTGAGTTTTGAGCCAATTTTGCTTCTGTTTAAATGTGTAGAGTTTTCTAATCTGGGTCTTGGAGACTTATAAATAGACTTATAAATAAAATGTACTTTTACAATGAACAAATAGAATTTATTAATCTCTTTGAAAAGAAGAATCCTCTAGAGAAAGAATTATTCTTACCCTCACAATCTTTGGTGGGAGGAATAGGTTGCTACAGATCTTGGGGCCTAGAGGAAGAGGAAAGAAAAAAAACTGCATGAAAGAAAGAACAATGGCTAGAGGAAATTGAAGAACACAAGGAGTTAGAAATATGGAGTCCATACCCCTCTAGATTAAGGTGGAGACACTCTCCTTTCTATGGCATGAGCATAAAAGCATATATGCCTCTTTTGCTAATTCTAAAATATGTATGTCAGAATAAATGCAGAAAATGAGCTTTTGTTTCTGAACTCAAGTGGGGAAGTAGTATGTTGGAGCGGCTGTGAATAGCACAATCACATTTTGAGTGAACAGTCCAACTTAAAATTATTTCCGGCCAAACATTTAATTAGTGGTCATATTGAAATACATGCTTCATGAGTTTGGAAGCTGAGGTTATTCCTAAGTAAAACTCAATTTTTTGAGACCTTCTCTTTTTCCATATAATGCACAGAAAATAAAAATGTGTGAGTTTAGTTCTCTCCAGAGATGAATTTCTTAATCTGATGATAATAACAAAATCTCCTTCTACAGATGTTTCAATCAGTCAAACTGTTTTCTATTGCACATAGGTATAACTCAGTAAAAGGAAAATCACTTTTAAGAAAAATCACAACTTTGAATTTCATTTATAGAATGAAATTTATTTTTAAAAGATGCGCTCTGGCAGACCATGTCACCAGTAGCTATCTCCATTGTTCTGTTGATATTCAAAGGTGTTTCTTACTAGTACTTTTGAGTTTAGGGAAGGAAGTGACACAGTTGTCTCTAATTAAGGTCCTACAGTAAGAACTTAGAGGACAGGGGCTACGTTGGCTTCTCAGGAGTGTTTGTATTAAAAGGAAACAGAGTCAAGGCACATCATATAAACAGATAGAAGAATGAGAACCTAGAAGAAATAATGTGACTATCAAGTAAGACTTTAGAAGCAATTGGATTACTGCTCCCACACACTGTCCAAGTGACATCCCTCCAGTGTGACCCAGCTCCTGTTCATGTTTGAGAGCCTAGACTCAGTTAACAGTCATCAACAAAAATCATCATCATCAAAGACCTAACAATGGTAGTAAGAATCATACTGAATGTTAAAATGTTCCTGCTACGTAGGGCAATTTGTGAAAAGCTTTCAATTATCTGAAAGCTCCTAACCAAACTCTCTGAAAGCGCATGTTGTTCTAATCAGGAAATTTTTACCTGCCTTGACCAAAGATAATCTGTGCACAAATATCAGGGCAGTATCTTGACAGACACACTAAATTTGCTGCTATATTTTGCAAGTGACCCATTTTCCATGCAACCGGAGCTATAGCATATGGCCAAGGAACCAAGTGTGATTTGTACTTTTCTACATTTTAAGGGTTCCCGCTGGTGCCATGCACTATCCATGCGATTACCAGGGCTCTGTACTTCAATGACAAGTAAGTATGAAGGTGGTCTTTCAGCTAATAAATACATAAATAAAATGCATTGGGGCTGATGTGTTCCCTTCCTTTTCTTCAGCTGCTGGCTGAGTGTGGACACCCATCTGCTTTACATCATCCATGGCCCTGTGATGGTGGCGCTGGTGGTAAGAACTGGTTTTTAATCCATTATTAACAGTGCTATCTGTTTGTTGGGATTTTTGTGAACATACTTCTATGTAGTACAGGTACTTCAAAATAAGTACAATTTAGCTATATTCTAAAATAATAAAAGACATTTTTTAAAAGCAATTTGGTTCTTAAAAAAATGTCTTTTATTTATGGGGGAGAGGTTACCCTAAGCTCATGTTTATACACACCATAACAACAATGTTGATGTATTTTCTAAGAATTCTATAGCTAGATGGTCAGTTGGAGATATATACTGAAAAAAAAATATTGAACATATGTTTGGTAATTAGATATGTGAATAAGAAGAAAGGATATCCTTGACATCACACCCAACACAAAATATGAATTCCAAGTAAATTGTAGGTTTACATGTGAAAAGCAAAACAATGGCTTTTAGAAGACACCTTAGGTGAATGTCTTCATGAGCTTGAGGTAAGAAAAGATTTCTAAAGCAAATACATAGACTTCTTAAAGAAGAGATTGATGAGTTGCCTATATTTAACTAAGATGATATTTAGAGGTTGAAAAGACAAATCTTAGAGTTCAAGGAGAGAGTTGCAATGTTCCAGATTTTTTTATGAAAAGGTGCTCAAACTCACTAATCTTCAGAGAAGTGCAGATGGAAAATGAGGATGGGGTAACACTACACCGCAACCATGGCCGCTGTAAAAAAGCTGACCATACCAAGTGTAGGCCAGGGTGAAGAGCAGTAATATACTACTCCTGCAGAGAAAGTAAAATAAAACCACCACTTTGGAAGCCCAGTTTGGTAATGTCTTATAAACATACTCTTATTGTTTGAAAGGTGATTCTACTACTGGGTATCTATTCAAAAGAAAAGAAAATATCTGCCCACCCACATAATTCAAATGTGAATGTTCATAGCATCTTTATTTGTGATACACAAAGAGTAGGAACAACTCTAATTTCCATCAACAGGGAAGAATAAACAAATTATCTATACTCTTCTCAGAGTAGTTGTACAAAGAGTAGAATGAGTGCAATGCTCAAATGCACAACATGGACGAATCTCACAGGTAGTCTGTTAAACCACAGTGGCCAGACACAAAAGAGGCCTCTCCATATGATATTCCATCCCATAATAATATAAATCAGTGGTTGCTTGAGGTGGAGCTGGGACAGAACTTTCTGGGGCTATGGAAATGCTCCCTGTCTTTGGAGTGGTGGTCACACAGGTGCATACATTTGTCTAAACCTCTCCAATGTTTGCTTAAAACCCACATGTTATTTAAATGCTGATTATAATTCCATGGGGTTATTTCCTTTAAAATGTTACTTAGAAAAGAAGACAAGATTAGCGGTCTCTGCTACATACAGATTTTACGGATACATTTTTTAGTCCTCACTTTGCTTTCAGTCAAGTAGAGGTGGATAAGGGGGACATCTTGATAAAGGACAAGATGGCCAGGTCTTCCCAGGATGTGCTGTGACATGAGATGGCAACACATCAAGTGTCGTCTACAACTCCTTGTAGACAGTTTATAACATCTAAATAACAAATAGATAGCCGCATTGCAGTTGAACTTCATGTATTTACATGTACAGGGGAAATTCATATTCTCCTTTATTTTTTTCATTTAAAATAAAAGAGAATATGAATACAGATCTGAAAAGAGTCTGGTTACCCCTATTTGTAGTTCGGGAAGCTAAACTAATTATGTGACATCTCAGGCCATCTCTCCTGCTCTCCACACTGGATACATGAGAACTGGGGACAGTAGACGTCTTTAAATGGAGGTGTCTCCATGGTTTGCTCATGTTCATATCTTTGTAGGTCAACTTCTTCTTTCTGCTCAACATCGTCCGGGTGCTTGTGACCAAGATGAGGGAGAGCCATGAGGCGGAGTCCCGCATGTACCTGAAGGCTGTGAAGGCTACCATGTTCCTTGTGCCCCTGCTCGGAATCCAGTTTGTTGTCTTTCCCTGGAGGCCCTCCAACAAGGTGCTTGGGAAGATCTATGATTACCTCATGCATTCTCTGATCCACTTCCAGGTAAGGCAGCCAGTAGCATATTTATTAGGTGGCTTGTTCACCAAACTTCCATGCCTGCTCGCCTGTCACTTCCAGGACCCACAAATGGCCCCACCTAGGCAGCTAATCACACACATAATTGTCAGACCTTCCTTTAATAAACAAATGTTGACTCAGGGGTAATGAGGAGCAATGAATTTGTACAGAACTGCCTCTGCTCTTTCACCTTCCGCTTGTGAGGCCATGTCAGGAATCCATTCTTGACAGTTCACTCGCTGTAAAGGAAAGTTATGTACAGGGGTCTCCTCTTGTAGGAGATAATGGAGGTGGCTCTCAGAGACTGTCCTAAGCTGTCTAAAGTCTGCAACACTCAAAGGAATGGCTGTTGCATTTTCATTCATTCTGCCCAGATTCACAGTTCCATTGAAAGTGTACTGCTAGGTATTTTGAGAACAAAGTAGTGCATGAAGGGGTCAGGGTAGGGGTCCTCAGGCAAAGGAAATTCTACTCACATTAGTTTTATTTTTTACTGCCAGGGTTTAATGTGAAAACAACTGAATTTTATTGAGTTAAAAGAAAGCATAGGGGTTGTTTTAATAAACTGAGCTGTTGTTTGGGCTGTGAGTAAAGCTTGGGCACAAGGAATCTTCTGAGCAGTTACCAGGTCCTTAGAGATTACCTAGTCTATGTCCTTATTTGAGAGATGAACTTGGTTGTCAGTACTATCACAATTTCAGGACACACGTTGACAGCCATGCACTCTAATATTGGTGTTTGTAAAAGATTTCTCTACTGAACCCGATGATCTCAGTTTTTACATTTTTAAGTACCAAGTTCTTTTCAAATCCACTTTAATCCATATATTATGCTAAAAATCTCCAAGTTAAAAAGAGAACTATATTAACAAGATTTACTAGAGTTGTCCTAGTTGCCAAATGATAGAATCCTAACAAGAAAAATTTCTATTAAAATATTCTTATAATGTAGCACTGAGTATGAGTGGAAGATAATTATTTTTCTTACCTTTATACATCATCAAGTTTGACATGCTATTGCAAGAGTGAAATACCCCCCAAGGCAACCTATTTATATTGATATAAATATATTTATATTGATTGACAACATAGTGCACACAAAAATAACTTCAACTCTATTTTCCCTTCTCTTTTTAGGGATTCTTCGTGGCGACTATCTACTGTTTCTGCAACAACGAGGTAAGTCTGCATTCATTCCATATAATACATTTGGCTGTTTATATAAAGCCAGTATTTTATGGTCTCCACATTTCATTTGATCTCATTTCTACAGTTGACCTCAGAGGCTTTCATAATTAATAGGACTGTGTTTTTTCCACTTCTTTAGCTGGATATTACCTATAGAAATGGGGTATAGTTACAATAAGATCCAGACATGCAGCTAAGTTCTGATCTTCTGGGGTTGCCTCCTGAGCTGGTCAGCACCCCCAGTAGTAATAGTGAAAACCATTCTGGGTTCCCGTAGAGAGAGAAGCAAGTCCCTATTCCTCTAAAGGCCCCAAGCCCTTGCTGGTCCAAAACCAGCTTCCCCTTTTCCTCTAAAGGACCCAAGCCCTTGCTGGTACAGAACCAGCCTCCCGCCAGTTTGTACAATCTGTTAGCCTATTTTTCCAGTTTCTTGATGCTACTATTGGACCACTACTCAGCACTTAAAAAATCACCTTGCAGTTAAAACTAAAAAGATCTCCAAATAAATAGTCTATTATATTGAATATTTGTATTAGTAGCACCTAGAGATCCATTAGGTCAGGGTTTTTGCACCAGGATTTTTAATTCTTTCTTCCAACAGTAACTTACCTGGGAGTCCCATTCATAAAATGCAAAAAAAAAAAAAAAAAAAAAGGAGCTGCTGTAACCCCAGAAGTTCTTCTAAAGAACTCATGGGTTTTCAAAGAACATGATTTTTAAAACTCTTCATTTTTCAAATGAGACATCTAAGCTCTAGAAAGATCAAGTAATTTGCCCAATGCACAAACATAGCTGTGGTGGTAACCAGGACTGGAGCCTAGACTTTCTGATTCCCAATTAAATTAACTAAATCTCAATAAATTATCTGTGTCTATGATTCTTCCCTAGAGCTTTGCAAAAGTAGAATATGCTTCTTATGAAACCACAAAACTTTTAATGCAAACGTATTTTTGATCATTTAAATTAATTCCTATCAAGAACAATTCAATGCAAGAAAAATCATACTTTAAGATATCAGCATTTTTTTCCTGTAATTAGAAATATTTTCTAACCATTGTTAGTTGATACTTATTTTTTATTCTCTATTTCTTTCATAAAATGATATTTATTGAGCACCTAAAATATTTTCCTGCTCTATGATGTTACCTATCTCCAGCCCCAACATGGCCATGTTTTTATTATTACATTTTCATTGGTAGATTTTATTACTTCCTCCCATCATTCCTTCATCCAAGAGCTCATTGCATCATTCAACAGAAATATATTGTGTACTTACTATTTCTAGGAGCTTGACAAGGGGCTAGATAGAATCAAGATCCTTCTGGTGCCAACTATTAGAGTATCCTCCCAATTCCTTTTTTTTTTCATTTTCAGAATAGCAAAAACTAATAAATGAGAAGAGCTTACATTGTCCTATGTACAGTACTAAACTAGCGAATACTCTGTGAATGCGTATCTATGCCTTTTGATTTGTTCCAGGTGACATGCAAGATAAAAATTTTTAATCTAAAATAATATCAAAATAGGGCTAATATAAAAACCATATCCAGGAGGAGACTGCCTTGTAAAGCACAAGAGGATTGCATGCATTTGTAAAGATACCACAGTTTTTATTGTGTCTTAACTATGATGCTGTCTTTGGGAGTGTCAGGCATAGGAAGCAATCCCAGGGGCACACCTAACAATTGAAACGTCTCTGAGTTCATTTGAGTATGCTATCTGTTTTCTGAAGTAAAGAAACCATACCTATTTTCATTAAGATCCTGTTACTGGAAGAAAGTGCAAGTGTGACATTTCTAATAATACAGAAATCATGCACTGTGCCAAATGTAATATCACAGCCCTATGGATTTCAGGCATCTGGGTCTCAGTCGGGCATTCTGTGTACATATCACCTTACAACACTGAACACAGGCAGGGCACTCACACATGCCGGAAGTTATTTCCAGCTGCCTCTGAGACAGAGCTGTGAGGGGACTCTGCCTGGCTGAATATTGAGTTTTAACAGAGATGGATAGGGACAAATAGGTCAGTTGTCCAATGGAAAGATGTAAATTTTAATTTTGAACTGTTATCAGTATGTAATCAGTGATTGCTCTTCTGGAAGTGGATTATATAGTGAGTCCATTGGTAGATGAGAAACAGGGGGAAAAAATTGGAGAATTAAAGTAATGAAAATCAGGAGATGTCCACAAGAACATACTTATGTATCAAGCATTTCTCACAGCTCTTCCAAGTGTGAGGATATTAATTATCCAAACATATTAATAAATTATCAGGTATTAAAGGACCTCAAAAAGTTGGCTACAGCTATGAAGATGTACAATTCGTTTCTAAAGAGTAACTTAGAATTAATAGTACTAAAAACACACTAGATTGTCTCCCTTTTTCATATTTTTGGCTAGTGCTCAAGAGTTGTGGATTAAAGTTTGTAGATCAAAGAAGCATGATCAGAGCGTATGAAAACTAAAACTTATTTGCTGTAACTTTCCTTGCATTCAAGAGCCCATTCCAGTAGCCTCTAGTGGTTCACAAGTCTCATTGTGGAAAAGAAAGCAGTTAGTTCAAAAGCTTTTGTCCAAAAGGGCAGCTGGTTACCAAGTATGAATGCCAGCACCTGCTGTTGAAATTTCTTGCAGCTCCTCTCACTTCTGAGGACCCTAGGGGTCTTCTCCATCTGTAGTCTCCTTGATCAAGTCACAGCCCTACTCTGATTCAGTAGTTTTCCTCCAAGCCATGTGAGGAGGGTGGGGACTTCAGCCCCTTTCTTTATACTTCCTAGAGCCTGTGGTTCTGTCTTCAGGACAGTCTACAGCCATTGCCACTCCACTGCTTGAACACCATGTTGGACATGGTGTCAGGGCAAGTGCGGGACTTCTTTACAGGGTTATCAGTTTTCAAGATTATGCTCTTGGAATCAATAAGAAAGGCCTGCTGTTATAAGGGTACATCGAAGAAAACAAGTTATCCCTTGCTTTCTTCTCCCCATTTTCCCAGAACTTCCACCATGAAGGGGAAATTGAAGGTCATTTGTGTCTCTGTATCCTTCCCACTTTTCTCTTCCTCTCAGAATTGCAAGGGGCCTGCATGCACCACTTGCCCTTCCTGTCTGTAAAGGACTCTCCCTAAACCATATCCGACTTTTTCTCTACACTATGGCTTTTAGTAAAACTATGTTTTCAGATCAATTAACTTTTTATTACATAGGCAAAGAAGAATTTTTATTAATAAATTCTCGCATTAAATAAAATGTTTTTCGAAACTATCTTCTTTTTTTTTTTCCTTCAATTTTCTAAAATTTGGGGCAGGCAAGATGTTGGTCCAAGGATATATAATTACAGTTAGATAGGAGAAATAAATTTCAAGGGGTTATTTTCTTTCTAGAGATCCAAGAAAGTCCTACTGAGGACTCAAAGCTAAGTGATAATTTCCTTATTCTAGACCAGCATTCTCAAACCTAGTGAATGTCAGAATCAACTGAAAAGTTTGTTAAAACACAGACCACCAGTCCCCACCAGCAGAGGCTGCTAATCAGGACTTTCGGATTTGCATTTCTAATAAGTTCCCAGATAGTACTTGGGCTACAGGTTCAGAGAACACTTTGAGGACCACTGTTCTAGATAAACTAGCTTGTTCTTCAAACAATAAATGACCTTGACTTAATGAATGAAGGAAATATAGGGGAATGTTAAAAAACTTAAGAAATACAATTGATAAATATTTTCAAGATTTTAAACCATATTACAAATGATATTTATTCTTCTTTAGAACAAGAAATCATCCTTTAAACATAGGAAAGTGGGTAATGAAAGGCAATTAAAAGCCCTGATCTTATAATCATCAAGTACCCCATTGCCTCAAATTACAGAACATTTAAATTCCGTAAATGAAACCAAAGATCACTAGAGATGTTTCTGATATGTACTCCAAACGAATAAAAAAAAAAAAATCAGTAACAACTTGGAAGTGTTCCAAAGCATCTAATTAATGGGCTTCAACAGGGATCCAGTTTCTAAAACTTGCATAAAACCACCTCTTCTGTTCAGTATATATTTTGCCATATTTATAAAACAAGTTTGGTTTATTTCCATGTTAGAAGTCTTCAATGGAAAGAGATTGAAATCTTATTATTTCTTATTAAAAGTGTGTCACTGCATTAGCAGGAATTTTATCTGGCAGACCTCATCTCAAGCCACGTTGGATGAGGGTAAATTCACACTATGGGGCCATTATCATAAAAGTTAGAACTGTGTGATGAATCCCATATGTATTTCACCATCAGCAGTGTGTGGATTTCCATGAAATCTTTCCTTATCATGGATGGTAGCAGATTAAAAGTTTCCTAAACCTTTCTTCCTTAATATGACATGCACACATCATGAAACCAAATCAAGTTTCGTTCACTGAATATAAGAGCTAAAGAAGAAACTTTTGCTCAAAAATAGCCAGTGTTGGCATGTAACTCAGTCCTCCAGTTTGCACGTTCTTCTAAGACGACCTCTTCCACCACTGAGTAACACACAACTCAGCCTCTTAGATCAGAATTACCATTCCACCTGTTGCAAAACTCTGATAAACTCCAAGAGTCACGTGCCTAAGCTTTGCTTGGGTCCTTTCTGACCACCCTATGAAAACAAGGCTCCCTCTCGTCTTCCAGGTCCAAACCACCGTGAAGCGCCAATGGATGCAGTTCAAAATCCAATGGGACCAGCGCTGGGGAAGGCGCCCCAACCGCCGCTCTGCTGCTCGCGCCGCCGCCGCCGCTGCCGCTGCTGAGGAGGGCGACCTCCCGGTGTACATCTGCCACCAGGAGCCTAGGAATGAGCCTGCCAACAACCAGGGCGAGGAGGGTGCTGAGATCATCCCCATGGACATCATCGAGTAAGAGTCATCCGCTTGAATGTGAAGCACACACACAGCATCGTGATCACTGAGCCTTCATTTCCTGGGGGAAAGATAGATCATGCATTTAACGATCCCCATCCCCCCAGGAGCTGAGCATATCATTTGTGAAGAATTGTTAAGTGAATGTGTCCATAGTGAATTTGAAGAAAGTGATTCTTGGTACTATTGCTTTGGGAGACAGTCTAGGAATGGAGTCTCCCACTGCAACTTGTGAACTCCATCATTCATCCAGGACTGAGATGCAGATGCGGCATGTCTTAGTAATGCGAGGCAAGTATCCAAGAGAAAGGCAATTAAATTGACCTAGTGCAGATACAGGGTGCTCCTTGTCAATCTTGAGCCATTTCTACCTTTGAGAAATTTAAGATCACTATCAAGAGATTTCTTTTTAACTCTAGATTTTGAATTAGAATATTTCTGTATTTGGCTATGGATCTGATTTTTAATTTTTTTATTTCAATCAATCCTGAGGCTACATATTTCACCATCCGTACAATGTAAAACTGCACAAATTACATGACCTCTGCAAGAAAAAATGGGTTTCACATATAAAGATGACTAAGGATGTGGAAGGCGAGACCTGCATTTGGCAGGAAAACATAATGCTTTGAATGAAAAAGAAATCTTGAGTCAGTTTGCTGGAACTATTACACACCCAGCTTGTTTTTGGATAATTCTGGTAGGGTAGACCCTAAGTGCTGTAAGGAATTGGTCTTAATGTTGACTGTGCTTTGGTAGCTGACATTTATAAATTGGGAGGTCACACAAGAATCCATCACTAAATTTTTCACAAACTGCCAAAAATATAATTCTTAGTGGAAGAAAATACTCTTTAAAGAGTTTTCCACTTTCCTAAACTCCAGGATTTATAAAGCAAATCATTCTGAGGTTTATAAAGCAGATTACCTCTTGCCCTTGGGTGCTATCTAGCAGTAAAAGATAGATGTGTTTAAGGACTGGTAATTAAAAGACTCCATGTAAGTCCATTAGCTGCCTTCCATCCAGCTTCAAAGCTTAACAAGATCACAGTCTTTTCCAGGAACTTTCAGTAGAGCTAATTAGAAATCAGTGTATAGTTGACCTCTTGTGTGCCGCTATTAGCAAAACAAGAAGAAAAAAACGTAAATGCTACAAGTTTAACTGCATATTAATTCATGTTAAAATAAAAGTAGAGTTTCTCATTAAAATCTAGTAGTGTAGATTTCCACATCTCTCTTCACTTCTGTGTATAAGATCTTTAAAAATTTCTGAATAAGCTTGTGTCGTTAACTGGTGAATTTGTAATAGTAATCAGAGTAATCATTGTGTAATTTGTATGCTAAGTGAGATACACTGAAATCCTCCAAATCTCAAATCTCATCTGTGTCATCTTATGCCACTGCCTTTCAGAAGTGATTTAGTTGTGAAAAGACAAGAACTTGATTTGTTCTGGTTACATATTTAGTGCAACCAGAGAAAATAATATTTGTCCAACGAAAATGTATTTTGGATACTGAAGTAGATTAAGTCTCCTTTACTGAATGTAAGGGAAGAATTGAAAAGAAGGTATTTTTCCAGTCATAGTGTTACGTGATGTGTTATTTTTGTTTACAAACATGGAAAACAGAGTATTTCTGGCAGCTCTAGTACAAATGTGATAATATATTGCTAAAATATTTTAGATGTTATTGTGCTAATATAGTAGTAATATAGTAAGTAATATAGTAATATAGTAAGTAATATAGTAATATAGTAATATGGTAATATAGTAGGAACTGAAGAAGTCAAAATAGTTTATTAGTATTGCATTTAGTGTCAAAATTGTGTGAAATGCATGCACTATGTATATGTATAAATTAATATAGAGTCAATAAAAGCAAAAGATATATATTTGTGTATTTTTCTAAAAAATACATTATTCATTTTTCATCCATTCATTTTGTCTCCTGTTCATTCCATGCTTTCTTCTTCATTTCAAACACGGCCTGCTGATATCTCATCTAGTTTGTACTGCAGGAAGGGGAAGAATAATCCAAAAGTATTGGTTAGAAGTAGTGTGCAAAAGATGTCAAGATCCTTATCTTTATTAGTGTAAACACCTTCGGTCTACAGTTTGACTCAATGGTGCAGTTCTCATGCCCTTGATAATGCAAAAACCACACATGACTATCAGTCTATTCAGATCTATTTTTAGGAAGACTTATTTGGGATCCCTTTGTAGGAAGGAATCAAATTTTTAGGTCTGTATAGATCTGGATAGCATGAAATAGAAAAAAAATGAGGATTAAGTGGAACTGTGATGAACTTAATAATGGGAACAGGAGTAATTTGTGGGAACTTCACATTATGTGTAGCATTCAAAATCGTTGCTTCATAGATCTGGGGAACTTTTTTAGGAGGGATACATAAGGGGTACATTTTCCCCTGTATGTTCCAGAGAGTGATTCAAATAGATATTATTATCCTTGTGATCTTCAAGAATGAAAATAATCTTCCATCATGCCATAAAGTCTGATTCTTCAAAAGAGTTACTTACACTCAAAAGGTTGGCTGCCCACCTGCTTTGATTCCCTCCTACAAAAGGATCCCAAATAAGTCTTTGGGTGCAAATGGATATCATGGTTCCTGAAGAGAAGGAAAGATGTTGGAAGTCCTGAGAAATATGCTTAACATTGTGGAGCTACAACCCTTCTCATTTCTTCCTTCATTCATAACTCATTGATTCAACCATGTACCTTCCATCCTGCATAAAACTGAGGTTCATTAACACGGTTATCATGGCAAAGTTTCTTTGCAATGATGGGTGCTTCTTTTCTATGCCAGTGGTAAAAATGGAAATCTATAAAGTGAAAAACACAACCACTGATACCTTTGGGGCGGAGAAACAAAATGGCACATGTGATTGGCGGTGGTGGCTGCGTGTGAGTTCCCCTCCTCATTAGCCAGGAGCAGAAGAATTCATTACAACACTCTCATAAGAGTGTTATCATTTTCTTGATAACAAAATCAAAAACAGTGGTTCTTCTATTGAATACATTACAATCCAATGCCTAGCATAGGAGTTAACACTTCTGAGTTTAAAATGTGATTATTCATGAAAAAATGAACATCAGAAACAATATTTAGAAAAGCAATGAGATAAACTCAGAAGGAACCTTCATTTGTTATTTTGAAAAAGAAAGCAGGCGACTTTCTCCTCCTATCTCAAGTTCATGCAAAACTGGTATGGAGCAAGGGAGTTGGAAAACACTAACTGAAAACATAAACAAAAAGAATGATCATATGTGCATGTGAGGGTGGAGGAAGCTACAGAAGGTACATTTGAATGTTAAGAACTAACCCTATTTCCAGTGAGTTTTATTCTTCTGGCCTTTCACATCTTTTTAATATCTCCGAATTACATGAAGCATTGGAGAAAACATAACCACTGACATCTAATTTTCTAATATTGTATCTTCCTCCATTTACATTAGCAGGCACCTCTGAACGATTTCCCTTATCCTAAACATTGTCCAGCCAGTCTCTTCTGTCACCCATCAAAATCCATTTTCTACTTACAGAAATGTGATACTTTCTAACTTTCTCAGAAATCCTTCCATTGGGACTCAAACTGTGCTGTCCCTCTTCTTTATTTAACCAGCATTGCCACCTTCTGTCACTACAGTCTCTTTTGTTTGAGAGACTGCCTTATTTTAATTCAGAGAAACTGTCTCTAAATAAAATCAGAGTACTGGCTAATGAATGGATAAGATAGGGAAGACCTTGACTATCCACTCGCCCACCCAATTATGCACCAGGTAGTGAAGAAAAGTAGCTGCAGGGCCAGCTGAGATGGTCAAGTAGAGAGCACACTGATTCCCACCCCAGATGCCCCACTTCAGAAACTACAGAATCAAAAAGGACACAGAGTTTCAATAGTTAGCAATTAATGGAAAAGAGAGAAAACAAAAGGGAAAAAAGAAATACACAGAGAAAACTCTAAGCTTCATGAGTCAATGCACATTTTAATGAACCAGAAAAAGATTCAGACAAGAGGCAGAGGCCACAGGCAGTAAAGAACAGAATCAAGGAAAGAGCTTTACTCTGTTTTGCACCTCTGTTTCCATCGCTGGGAGACACTGGCTGTAACAACAGGTCTGATTGCTGGTCCCTGTGTTCCTGGCATACTCTCAGGGCAGACCAACAGTCCTAAAGGACTGGGGAGTTCATGAGAACCATCAGCTCTGCAGTAAGCAGACACCTTGAGCACTTGATCCTCGGTTTTCCTCTGCTATACTCCCATAGGACTGATGAGTTATGAGCTAGGGAAGTTTCCTCATCCTAATGATTTTACTCTGAAGGGATTAAAAGTGTTAAATATTGTTTTCCTATAAAAATAGTGAAAACAAAAAAGAAAAGATCAAGGATTCTTTTATGGTAACTATTTTTTTTTTTTACTCTGGGTATCACTCCCTTTATTCTCTTTATATCCACCAGAACCCCACAAAGTCAAGGCCTGGCTTTAGGTCATTTCCTAAAAGACATTAGAGATCAATGACTCCAGGAATGAGAGGTCACAGGACAAGACAACGAGACATCTGAGGGACACAACTATTTAAAAGAGGACTAGCCAATACAACAAAGCACACCAACTTACAGAGTGATTGGGAAATCTAAATAAAGATTGTAATGCATGTTGGAGGACTTAAGTGGAGATGTTAAAAACATAGAAAGAAACAAGAAATCCTACCAAAGAACCCAGTGGGTTCTTGAAATGCAATAGCTAAAATAACACTATACTTAATAGTTGAAATAAATAACATTTACTTAACAATATAGACCCACATTTAAAATGAATTAAGGAGGTAAAAAGAAAAAAAAACAGGCTAGTGAGCTCTTTTAGAGGAAAGTATAAAAATCTAGAAAGCATAAAATAAAAACTAAAAGATGCTAGGTGTGGTAGCACATTGTGATTCCAGTGACTTGGTAAACCGAGGCAGGAGGGTTGTCAATCAATGCCAGACACTGGCTGAAAATAAAAAGAGAGTTGGTAGTGTAGCTGAGTGATAAAGCACCCCTGGGCTCAATCCCCAGTACCAAAAAACAAAACCAAAATAATAACAACCAAAAACCCTAAAAGATAACAAAGACAGAACTACCTGTGTCAGAAGAATAGGGTCCCAGGAGGACACACACACAAAAATAAAAATGAAGAAGGGACATATTTTCAGAAATACATTTAAAACTCTCCATAATTAAACATAAAAGAGACCTAAAATAGGGATAACTCAAAGATTTCCAAGTAAATGCACCAAAAAATCCTATTAATATTGAAAAGATTAGAATAAGAAGAGGTCAAAATCACATGAAAGCAGGTTAAACATTTTCTCTTTTAGTGGAACGATAGATATCTATACAATTAAGGGAGTTACAAGGGTGAAAAAATGAGTATAAATCTTAATATGACATCAATTATAATAAGGTAGTCATGGCCACCAATTAAAAACAGATTCTTGGGGGGAAAAATCAAAGCCCCCCCCAAAGCAACAAGAGACAAATATAAGACAAAAAGAAAACATAAGACAAAAAAAAGGTATGGGAAGAGTTATGTTAGAGAAATATGATCCACAGTAAATGGGCTTTTTCTTAATATCTGACTAAATATGACATTAGACAAAAAAATAAAAAATAAAAAAAGTCTTAAAGGACAATGTGTTAGGCCATTAAGGCTGCTATAATAAAATACCTTAGACTGGCCTGTTCCTCAAAGATAGTGTCTTCTATATGTCTTTCCACGGTGGAAGGAAGTAAGGAAACTCCCTCTGGCCTCTTTCATAAAGATATTAATACCATTAATGAGGTAGAAGCCCTCACGACTTAATCATTTCCCCAAAGATCCCACCTTTTAATGCTATCACATTGGGGACTAAGTTTTAATATGGGTTTTGAGAGGACATACATATTCAGGTGACTGCAAAAGTAGTAATTGGACAGAAGATTATAACCACCATAAACTCATACGCATCTTTAAACACAGCTTCAAATTAGATCAAGCCACACCATGAGAACAACAGGATGAAATAGATGATTTATCAGCTGCAATTGAGGACGTTAACTTACCAATCTCAGAATCTGATACATCAAGTGAGTAAAATATTAACAATGATATAAAATACCTGAAAAATTCAATTACTGATGTCAAGCAATTAAAAATATATCAAGCACTATATTCAACATTGAGAAAGTGTGCACTCAGGAGTACACATAGAAACGTCCATAAAAGAGCCATATTTAAGAACAAAAAGGACCATTTCTTCTGAAGGATTGAAACCATACAGATCTCTGGTCATAATGCAACATAATTAAAAATCAATAGCAAAATTGTAGCTTAGGCAACCTGATGTATGAAATAATGAATATTTCTAAATAATACTTTTAGAAGCCTATTAAGAATTACAGAATGGTATGTTTCTGAATTAGTGTCATGTTAGTTTTAACTTAATGTTATTTAGATAAAGTGTTACAACTCCATGGGACATACCTAAAACAATTCCAGCAAGGAAACTGAATTTTAGTTATATTTAAGTAGAACAATAAACTGAGAAACAGAGTAAAAGCAAAACTATAAGGGACAATGTCATTGTGAGTAATTACCCTGATGCAATGATACCCTGTGAGTACATTATCAGGCAAGCTAGCTCAGAGCTCATGGTCCAGAAATGGTCACAGACAAAATTAAGATGTTCAAATCACGGAGTTTATTTAATCAATTGAAAAATATTCAGTGAGAAGCCTGGGGAAGATTAAGTAGGTGAACATATTTAAGCATAGATAACTGCAAGGTGGTTTTCACACTACCTGGGCTTGTTTAAGTTACTGAGTATGGGAGGTTCCTAGGGCCAATACTGGGT